ATCGGACACTATACCTCTGTTTGCGCCGTTGGTTAGACGAAAACACTTTGGGCATTGAATCCGGGGACGGGGCATGGCAGTGGATGAAGGGCACTTTTGGACGACGGGGTTTGGGTGGCGGCTTACATCGCCTTAATGAACATGACTTGGGCCAACAATGGCGAGGAGGATTAATGGAACGCGAAAAGGTCGAGGCTCCGAACCTCCTCTATTCACCTACACGAATTTCACGACTGTGACAGAGCTCATGTGTTTTCGGCTGCTTTGCATCTGTGATGCACATGGACGGCCCGGTTCGGGCCCGCGTCGGTGGGGTGCCCGACCCCGCGTATCCGGATTTCGCTCACGTGCTCCCTTTACAGTGTTCTGCCTGCCTTCAGAAACGGCCTCGCGACGTCAGATTCCCATCTGGACTTGCTGGGCTCTATCAACGAGGCAGCACGTATCGCGTCGACAACCCCTGCTTGTTCATCCTTGCCGCCACGCGAGCTAGGCTTGTTGTCTGCCCAAGATCGGAGACGACTCCGTTCGTCTGTTATCGATAAGCGCAGTCGAAAATTGCGACCCCGCGACCTTGTGAAGATTCTTGAACGCGCCGGGCATCGGGCAAAGTTGTTACTGCTGAAGCTGCGAAGCGCCGAAAGTCTGAAAATATTAGCTGCGTCATTCTGGAATACCGAGGCTTAGCGCAGCCTGATTTGGATCTCACGGGCGGACACGTTGAATCTTCCATCCATCAATCTTTGGGGCTCCGTGCCGGACAACGTCGAAGCGGCTCAGGTGGACGTCTCACGACATCCCGTCTTCGTCCAAGTCCACCAAACACACAACCAGCTCTTAGCATTCACAACAAATTGGTCAGAACATACGAGGACGGGGCAAAAGTAAAGCTACCAAAAATGGGTATCCTACCATCCTCGGCGCCGGACCCGGCCCTCCCCCTGCTCACGCAATGCACACACATCCTCGCCAACATCACCACCCTCCTCAGCGAGCTCGACGCGCTCAAAGAGGCGCTCACCCGTCGGCCCTCCCCGACGACGACCACCAAGCCGCTGGCGTGGAACCAGGCCGTCCCCGGCCTGGGCCCGTTTGAGAGGCTAGTCGTGTCGGAGAAGAAGCACCTCGAGAGGATGGTGGGCGCGTACGACACCCCGGATCTCGGGGGGGAGGAGCTGGAGGCGCTGGATCGGAAGACGCGGTTGAGGCTGGATGCGAGTAATTACAAGTTTTATGAGAGTGTGTGGGAAGTGGCGAAGAGGTGTTGTGATTTGGCGGGGATGAGGAGGGAGCTGGCTGTGAAGAAGACGGAGGAAGGTGGGAAGGGAAAGAAAGGGAAGGGAGTTGGCGCGGTGGTGGATTTGGTGGTAAGGGGCGGGACGGAGTGGGTTAAGGTTGTGACTACGACGGAGAGGAGGCTGTTTTATGAGATGGCGGACGCGGGGTGGGACTGGGACGAGGAGGAGCAGGAGGAGATGTTGGAGGTGCTGAGGGAGGATGGCGAGGGGAGCGTGGAAGTCGCGCGGGTGGCGCGGTGCATGATCGCCGCGGCGCGGGGGAGCTTTGAAGGGTACCGCCGGCCGCGGTGCGTGATCCTCATGAGCCGGATCGAGGAGGGCCGGAACGCGCACGTGGATCGGCTGCTGTCTCTCGTGCGGCGGCTCGGCGAGGGGACCGGGGTGGAGCTGGTCGTCGAGACGGCGAACGCGGGGATACTGGCGCGGCCGACGCCCGGTTTGGAGGAGGCCATCCGGAACCTGGTGAAGGCGGACCCGTTTGCGGGGTTCACGGACACGCTGAACGTGGACTGCTCCGTCTTCATGGCGCTGGCGAGCGACTGCAGTCATTTGCGGATCGGGCCCGAGAGTCCGCTGTTGCGGGGCGCGCAGCACCGGCTCGATGCGGCGGACGAGGTGGAGAACGGGCCGCGGCTGGTGACGACGATGTACCCCGCCCTCGGGGCGCGGCGGCTGGTGACGACGAGGGAGGCGGCGGATACGTTTTTGCGGATTTTGGGGGAGATTGGGACGGAGACGGAGAAGGCTCGGACGAGGATCTTGTTCGAGCCGTTGGGCAACGATGAATGCCGCGGGGAGAGGGTGAGGAAGTTGCAGACGCTGTCGGAGCACCCTGTCCCTGAAGATCTGCAGCTCCCGGTCGAGGTCGTGCCGGGGGTGAGCTGGGAGGAGGCGCGGGGGCTGGTGGAGGAGGGCGCGCTGCCGAGGGTCGCGCTGGCGGTGGGGAGGAAGGGGAGCGGGCTGGATGCGATGGGGGTGAGTTCGTTTCTGTACGGGTGGAGGGAGGGGATCACGACGGTGACTGGGAATTGGGAGGCCGTGAAGAGGTTGAGGGCTGCGATCGAGGCTGGGTTTGCGGAGGCGGGTGGGGAGCAGGTCGATGGTGTTGGTGACGGGCCGAGGGTGTGGAGGATCCCGTTTTCGAGAAAGTTGTTGGCGAAGCCCCGGCCGAGGGATGTTGATGCGAGAGAGGAGGATGGCGGGGGGAGGAAGCTGAAGACGAGGGTTGAGAAGAAGGTTGAAAAGGAGAGGAGTTTGGAGAGTTGGATTGGGGAGGTGAGGTTGGAGGAGTGAGGTGGTGAGGGAATGATACCCGGTGTTTTCTACAATCTCGAAGCTACGACGCAGATCATTTCAAGATCACACAATATGTGACTGCTGTTCATGTGTTTGGCCCCTTGACCAGTGCTGTTTGAACTGGAGTCCGATATCAATGTTCTTCTCTTCCATCCCGCCAAGCTTTCTAAATCACAACACCGCAATCCGGATACTTAATCCTCACCTCCGTCGTAAACACCTCCCCCTCCGTCTCATTCCGATGCCCCAGCAACGTCTCCTCGCAATGCAGCGTATGATGATACCCCCAGATATAGCTATCCACCCTGCCCAGCCCGCCGCTGCCCTGCATCAGCGCGCGGTGCATCCGCCGCCACATGGCCGTGCAGTGCCGCAGATGGTACGCCAGGCTCACGTACACGCCTGTGTATTCCCCCGTCATGATCTGGTCTCGTGTGAGGGGCGCGGTGCGGTTCATGTCGCGGTACCAGACCAGCTCGCCGGCCGCGCGGAGCTCGGCCTCGAAGGTGGCGGCGAGGGCGGCGTCGTGGCAGGCGGGCGGGAGCCAGTTGAAGGAGATGAGGTCGAAGAGACAGCCGGCGGCGCGCGCGGCGGAGGGCGTGGCGCCGCAGGGGGCGGGGAGGAGGTAGGTTGTGTTGAGGTCGGAGGGGGAGGGGGAGGCGAGGGTGTTGGCGTTCCGGGAGGAGGAGGGGGTGCGGGAGAGGAGGGTTTGGAGGGCGAGAGTGGAGGTGATGCCGAGGAGGAGGGAGGCGGTGATTGTTAGGATGAGGACGGGGAGGGAGAGGGTGTATTGGCGACGGGGTTTGGAGGGTGATGTGTCATCGCGGTGGTTTAAGAGTGATGTCGAGGGTTCGTCCGTGTCTCGTGGAGAGAGGTTGGAGTTGAGATTGAGGTCCTCGTCGTCGGATTCTTGGGAGAATGAGTTATGCTTTTCGTATACATCTGGCGGTGAATGCTCTTGGTGCGCCATTATTCCAGGTTCATGGACTGTTGATGGCTGTTTCTTAAACGGGCACTCAAGAGGTATTGAAGAAGTGATGTTAGGGATGACGTTGAATCTGAAGTAAGCTATCAGAAAAACGAAGGATTCGACTCCACTGCCAGTCAATCAATGAAAGGCGTGATCTTGGTGAGAACCAAACGACCTTCCTTTCTTGTCAGTACACCTACAAACCCCGAATCCTTCGACGCAACCTGTCAGCACAGGCAACCACAAAACCAACTAGAGAGACTAATACACTACAGATAGACTACTCATGAAGAGACATATTCGGCACTGCTGTCTCCACGAGCCAAAAAAAAGAAAACGTGTTTCACTAATCAATTTATCGTCTTTCGATCGTTGGGGCTTTCTCGATAACAATCAACAATAACGTCAGGCAAATCGGTGCGCCTGTCACCTGAAAGTGTGCCATGTTGCTCAGACGCCAATGCCTGAGGGATCGGTGATCTGCGATAGTCGAGATATATCAGCAGCATCCAATACTTGACTGGCACCGATCCTGTCAGGCCACTCAAATGACAACTCATCCGCCGCTCTCAACCCCCAACGTACTGAGTTTCTATGCGATCGCTAGCTCTAGCATTCGTACAATGACTTACATCGTAATCATTTCGCGTTCATCAAGTGTTGTCTCAGGCACTGTCAGGCTACTGTGACGCAAAAGTGAGGCATCCTGTGGTATCAACCAACGGGATAATCGCTACGCAGCCCGAGTCTTGTGTCGAACAGTGCCGTGAAAGCGTCAGCTCGCACTCTCACGTCGGTTATCGTCGCATTTTGACTGGAAGCTAAAGGGACATTCAGTTTCACAAATGTTGAACTGTACGACTTGCAACCCCAGCCCTCATACCGCTCTGCCATCCGGTGCATTATCTTGGTAAGTATGTATATAGACAACAGCACCCGGCTCTTGTGGGTCCTCTCTCCTTGTGTCTGCTTCACTCAGACCCCGTCCATTCCTGTCGAAAGGCCGAGTCCAACTCTTGAACGCGATGATCCACCGCACCACCAGCAGCGAGTTTCTTACTCGCTCAACTGAGGGAAACAAGTCAGGATCAGCTGCTTTGCCTTCGTCTGATGAAAGGATAGCGTCTACGGCTGAAATATTGCCTCTCGAGATCTTGTCGCGAAACGAAACCGAAAGTGCATCTCCACTATCCATAGCTGATTCTTGCCCTGTTGTATCTGATCGATCCCCTCCTGACGATCACGCCAGCTCCGAACACCTTCTCGCGGTAGAGAGAGCGATTGAACCACTGGAGACTGAGGCCAACGGGACTCAACAAGCAGAATCGCTGCCTTCACAAGAGGGCGCAGTAGAGCAACCATGTGAAGAAAAGCGGTCTGTCGAACAACAACATCGAAGTCCTGTGTCCCTGTGGAAAACCTGGTATCTGGAAATCATGAGCAGTTTGCTTGCCCTTAGTTGTCTTCTGGTCATCGTCATCATTCTTTCCATTTACCAGGGCCAACCACTACCCAAGTGGCCAAAATATCTACCGATCAACTCCCTTATGGCCATATTTACTGCGGTCTTCAAAGCATCGTTGATTATGCCAGTAGCTGAAGGTAAGTAGATTTTGATACCATTCTCCCCCGCGAAAGAAGGAGGGCAAATTTGTCATCTAGTCGCCGGCACACTGATGACTGCACTGACAACACCATACTGCTGAGAAACTAGGTGGATAGGTACATAGTACTGATTACATGGTGAGACTAGGGCTCGGTCAGCTCAAATGGGAATGGTTCAACCAGCCTCGGCGCTTGGCTGATGTTGTTCTTTTCGACGATGCCAGTCGTGGGCCATGGGGCTCTCTCGTGCTCATCGTCAAGCAGACATTCCGACTTGAGCATTCGTAAGATTGCTTTGACCATTAGCCTTAACTTCGAAGCATCTGAATAATACTGATCAGGAAATCGACAGCTATGTGGCCAGCATCGGTGCAATTATTACTGTTGCAGCTCTCGCGATTGATCCTTTCTCCCAGGCTATGATCGAGTATAGACCTTGCCCTCAAATACTTAAGGACCCTCGAACGTGTGATTCATTCTCAAGGTCACACAATCAACTCCAGCTGAATTTACCACCTCGGAAGCCTCTAGCTTCATGTTCATGCCCTAGTATGCCGTTGACGGGTGACCGCTGATGTAGACTATGCGGAAGTGACTGCATTTTGTGCGCATTGCGTTTTCGTAGCTTGAGAGCCAGTAATCAACTTACGGGTGGCAGGCAGAAAACTGGAATGGAGTGTGCACAAGTGCCAATTTGAAGTTATCGAAACTCGTACCGTCACGAGAATGTATCGAAGTTCGAGTAGCAAACGGCTGTTTGGTTTATACAATGGTAATGTCTCTCCGAAATGCATCCGTAGTTCTTTGGTACCACCAGGCTCCCCGCCTGCTCTTATCGATGGCATATGGACCACGCCCCTCGTAGTAATACCTTAGTAAACCAACTCGCCTATAAGTGGCCGTGTCGACATCCACGGGTTCGAGGAGAAGTCCGAATATCTTAATGGACAGAGAAACCTGTCGGTTCCAGGACTCCAGGTTATTCGATTGCCTCCCATGCTTCTCATACGAAGAAGTTTCCAGGCCCAGGACCAAACATTCAATCTCTTTTCCAGCCAGGTCTTTGGCGTCATAGTCAAAATTCAACTCCGTCTCATGACCTAGTTCACATCGATGTTGTTCGTTGGGACCAAACGCCGAGATCGGCCCAGAAATATCGACCTTGCCATGTCTGACGTTGCCCCATGGGTTGTGAATGGTTGAAGGATCGCAATCTGCTCCTCGTAGAAGAACGAAGGCTTTTGCCCATTGATCATTGCCTTCAAAGACAACAGCGCCACCGATAGAAGCCCATGACCACGAAGGAGTGCACCAATGTGATTGCACAGATTGTTCCGGGGACGCTGACTTGGGTAACAGACTCTCTGTGCCTCTTTTCGCCATGTTTCCCAAGTCGGCTCTTCTCCATGTCAGACTGGGAAGCAGCCAATTGTCCCATATTCCAGCGAGATATCTTGAGTCAGGATCGGTCTGCTGGTAAATCTGGGCCAGGCCTGAGAGAGCTGGTAACCAGTCGTGCTCCTTGGCGATCTTGAGCTTGGAATAACACTGAATGAGCTCTAGCCAATGATATCCTTGATATTCGGAGGGTGATTTGGTAATGCCTTGTATCAATTGATTGAAACCTTGTGGAAAACCGTGGTCTACGTTACGTTGGTTATCCGAAGATCTAATGCTGTCTCTACAGGTCCATTTTAACCTGTACAGTGCAAACGACAATGTACGCGGTGACAGGAGATTTTCTTGAAGAACCCAAGCTCTTGTATAGAGTGGTGTCAAGCATCTCGTCGGCAAGCAACTCTTCGGCAAGTCAGAGAAGCTGGGATCACATGAATAGCATGTGTTGTAATCCAAAAGATCAAACGACATGATTATCCACTTGAACGCACCCCCTGTGGTGGTTCCTTCCCAGTGAAGAAACGTCGATTCGTCGAAAGATGCACGGCCATCCAGTGATTTGCTGAGAATTCCAGAAGAACAGTCCGGACTTGAGGCTGCAGCTATGGTAAGGAAAGCATTTCCATAAACGTCTTTCATACGGCCTGCCTCATGCGCCCAGTCTCTTTCGTCGCCTTGCAAAATGCATAGCGAATCGATCCAGACGTACTTGATTCCGTATCTCCAAGCCAGGCGTATGGTGTCTTGGTACAGAGGCGGTATTTTGTCCCAGGGAATGTGATTCAAATGGTACGCGAGATTACTTTGAGTTGTGATCAGAGGCTGCTTGGAACCCCAGCAGTGACTGAGGCAAATATATCGATCTTGAACTCCACTGGATTCCATGAGACGGATGCTGCTGGCATCGTTACCAACACTAATCACCCGCGTTGGAAGATTTGGTAGCTGAGACTCGTGCTCCCGAAAGCAAGCATGGTTTTGGAGGCAATCGGCTAAACGGTCATCTGCAAAATCCAGATTGAGGCTCCGGTAGGGGCGCAGGACATTCCAAGGGCATGGTGTGTCTACATAGACTTATATCAGCGTTGAACAGTCCACCAAGGTATGTAGAATAGAATACCCGGGTGCGCATAAACCGTGAATGTCAACTCCCTTTTCGTCTGTGATCCTAGATCTGACAGACTGGGAAAGCGAAGTATTGTCTTCTTGTAGCCTTGGCGTGGAACCGAGAATCTCGAGTTGACTTCTTTGTACCGATCATCTGGTAGAAAAGCTTTTGCGACTAACTGCCTGAAATTGTCGCAAAGTTCGCAACAGGAGAAGGTCTCAGATTCGTCAGAAATTGGAAACTGAATATGTTGCCTTCTGCCGTCGGGAACGATCCATTTGTCGCACACGGTGGCTTGTTCCATCGTAGGTAGAAGTTAGGCTGGCGGTAAAAGACGAAGAACACGACCGGAGACAATGACAGTTGTAAAGTGGCTTCCAAGCTGGTGCCTCTGGAGGGGGAGTTGAGGGCCGATGATCACTTGTAGACATACGAAATGTGACCTAGAATGATGTAAATGGAAGCCTAACTGCGGAGCTCATCCGCTGTTGCTAAAGGCGCGTTGACCCTCAAGGTAGAATTCGTCGGGCATGGTTATTGGTAGCCTAATGCATCTGGCCTGTGAGGTCAACCTATCACGATCCATCGCGCTGTTCTGTCAACACAGGCTTGCAGTATGATGGGGCTGAGTCCGCTGGCCCGTCGAGAGACCCTCCCCGTATCATGAGGTAACGAGCCGAGGTTGGCGGAGCCATACTTGCAGCAAAATATTCGACTGTTAGTCGTCGCGCTAAACACTTTTCACGACATGCCTTTCACTTGAGCAAAATGTGACAACCTAATTGTTTAAATCTCCCTTTCACATCAAATTATGGTACGACGGGAAATGCTGGCTTCTAGCCGGCGGCAGATCATCACTATTCCATCCAGCTGATTTGAGGTAAAGGTTGAGGCGCAGTACATACTCGACCCAACGGTCTCTCCTATAATCATCGAAGTGCAAACTATTCAAACTGTACAAAACTAATAGCTCCCATTAAGCTCGCTTGATATCAACCATGTATGGTGAGGTGCGCAGTCAGGACACCTCGACCTCCCCCCTAACCTTCTCAATAGAAGCGACATCGTCAATCTTGGCAATGTTCAACAGCACCTGCCCGGCAACATCCAACGTCACGGTGTTATCCCGTTGTACCACCATCTCCTCAATAGACACATCAGTAACCTCGCTCATTCTCCTAGCCACCTGATGTGCCGTCATGCCGGCCTCGTCATGAAGTCTGACATGAACGGTGTGCTTCTCGTCTCTCTCTTCACTCTTCTTCCTGGCCCACATGGGGGCCTTGAGGGTGGGGGCAATCTTATGGCGGGGGTCGACGACGGCAACGTTGGCTACGAAAGCCTGGCCGCGGATGATGACGAGGTCGGCAGGCTCGTACTTGCACAGCCACGTTGTCTCGGTGAGCTGCTGGAGGAAGCGGACGCCATACGATTGAAGCTCGGATTCTTGGGAATGCGACAGGGGCTCGTGGGTCTCGAGAAAGACAAAGTTGGAGTTCGCCTCAGACTCGAAGCTTGAGCCCAGAGCTTCTGAGGCGAGCTCAATGTGGTTGCCGTTGAATGAGAAAGACATGGTGGAGGATGTGGGTTTGTTGTATGGGTAACAGTGGGTAAGGTAAGGTGTGAATCCTTCAGGATCGGAATGGGGAAAAGTGACAATTCGATGGTGGTGAGTAACATGCAAATCAAGGCTCCCTGGCTGGAAAACTGGGCCGGTTTAAATCCACTTCGAAGGTGTCTCTAGACGGAAGGCAGACGTCAACATTCGGGGTCGGTGTTCGGACCCTGGCAACGGTCTCAAAAACGAACGCCGACTGGGCAAGCCGGATATGTCTACGCAAGGCAATGATTGTCGCACGCAAGACAGTGAGATCACAGATGATGAGCGTAAAATTCCCGGGAGCTATTTCGTCGCACTCGCTTCTGGGGACGTGATTGCGTGTGATGGCACGAAAAATGTGAGACCTGGCGCTAAATTCCAGCAGAATTCACCGCAAACAAGGACACCCACTACCGCCGTACTATGCATTGTCCGAATGGTGTTCGCCGAACGGTCTATAAAAAGATGAAAACGGGGCTTGGAGTTTAAAATTTGGGCGAATTCAGCCAGTGCAGAATGGCCCAGCCCGCCACGTGCGGCTTTTCTGAGGTCGCTCGTTTGCGAGAGCCGCATCAGTAACTGAGCCATGTACTGAGGCTCCAAATCGCGGCGTAGGTCTGGATCACAGGGAGGCGGACCACATGTCTCATGTCTCATCAAACTCACTCCGCACTTCAGCTCTATGGGCAGCCCGATGTACCTATGCGATGACAAGGTTCACAGGCAAGGAATTAGTCAAGTTGATAGCAACATCATTCATTATTCATTACTCTCTCCGTTTTTGTGTCGTATTGTATGTACATATTAGCAATCCTCACTCTAAAGAAGAGTGACATCCAGAGTAACTGTAGGCGCACCCTCAAAGCCCACAGGCATGGAGTACGTGAAGTTCCAGAACTCAAAGTCGCGGATCATCGAGTCCGAACCACCGTATTCTCCGGCAAAGGACAGGGCATATGTCTCGTTGATGTTGCCGGATACGCTGACGTTCAAGCCTTGGACGTCAGCCCAGCCGGCGACGGTCGGCTTCTTGATGAAGGTGCCGACCACAAAGCTGAAGATGGAATCGGCCGTGCCGTTGGGGTACGTCAGGGTCAGCTTGTTGGCCTCAACCGCGACGTCAAGGGCCATCTCAGTGGGGTAAAGCGAGATGAAGGAGATCTCGTTACCGGTATTCCACTGGATTACGGCTGGGTTGAAGGATGCTTGGTTCTCGGAGGGACCACCGATCACGTTCTCATTGAAGGACTCGGCGCCGATGGTGAGGTTCTCGGACAGCCAGCTGGTGATGTTGCGGGGAACGTAGTCGTAGGGAGGGTAGTAGGTCGATGCCGTAAAGAAGTGGTCACCAGAGAAGGTCGTCAAGTTGGCGACCAGGCCTTCGGGAAGGAGAGACTGGTGGTAGTCTGCGAGGACGGCGAAGAGAGGGGCCCAGGCATAGTCTGCGGCGTGGGACATGACTTGGGGCTGTAAATGGGTATTAGTACTTGCGCGGTCCAAATTGTTCGATACCAACTTACAGCGGAGATGAGAGATGAGTTCTCCTTGCCAATCAACGTCCAGAACCACAGGGCCATCAAGCTGACATAGCGGGTCATGTCATATCCGTAGGCACGATCCCAGGGACCAGCCATGTTCTTCATAGAAGGATTCCAGAGCTGTGCAACAGCCTTCCACGTATCGGTGAGCATCTGCGGGCCCTTCTGGGTCATGATCGAATCCTCGGGGAGGTACTTGCTCCAAAGAATCAGACCAAAGAGGGAAACGCCAGTGTAAGTGCCTGAGTTGAACTCGGAAAGCGTGTTGGCACGGTCGAATAGGTCGATGATCTCCTGCGCATAGTTCTCGCCGGACTGAGTCATGTTGGCATCGCCAAGCTTACGGCCGGTGTAGCCAGAGACGAGAGCGCGCATGATGGCGGGGTTGCTGTACGCGGGGTAGAGGTTGTCGTCGTCGACGCCGCCGACGCGGTACTCATCGCCCTTGGTGGTGTTGTGCAGCGATGTGAGGATGAGGTCTTGGGTATCGTTGCTGAGGAGGTGGGGAAATTCCTCGAGGGCCATGATGAGAGTAGTGCCCACGAAGCCTCGCCAATTGGGGTCCCAGGAGTTGTAAATGCTGCCGGGGTAGTTCTCTGAGCCGACGTAGGGCTCCCCGTCATATTTCTGGTAATCACCGTACCTAGAGCTTTGTCAATGGCTGATTTCGAGTCTGCAACGGTGTCGGGATGGTAGCTTACCATTGCTCGGATTCGACCTTGAACTGCCCCGCAATAGTGTTGGTGATGATCTTCTCCGCCTCGGCAGCGTCGTCGCCGTTGTTACGGGCGAGAAGACCGAGCGCGTACCACACGGAACTGCGCGTTTCGTGTCGGAGGGCAGAGGCAGAACCGAAGTCGTAGAGATAGCCAGCCGAACGGTCGTAGTACTGGTCCATCCATGCCATTGACTCATTCAAGAGACCCTGAGCATTGGTGGACAGGTTCGCGACGTATGAAGACGCAGTAGCTGTGCCAGCGAGGGCAAGCAGCGCCGTTGCCTTTGACATGCTGGAGATCATCTTGAAAGAGCACGTGGGAGACCCAATTGATGCGACCTTGGAGTCCTGGGGGGCGAGCAGATCACGAACACCAGTTCATTGGAGGGGTAGCATCTCCCTAATATACACACACTCAGGATACAGCAGCGTCATGTCATGCCAAATTTCCCGCGGCCAAGAGCTGCAAGGCGGTGCAGTCCCGGGGTCAAGGACCAGATCGTCATCGTTGTAGATTGCAGCAATCAAGAAGCCGGGCACCCGCGTGACCTCACACGACAGCAGTGGACGCGCACCCAAGACTTCTACCAACCGGTAGAGGCCCTAGCTAACGGTGGCTGGGCCCGGTGTTGTTGACCAGGTTAGGTAAGAATGCGGAGGTGATAGCGGAATGGAGTCGATGGGACCCTTCGGACCCTGGTGGGCACGTTGGAAATAACTAGCCAGGCATGTCATGGCTAGCCACTGGCACGTTGCCATTGAGCGGCAATAGGTGAGAAAGAAGCAACTCGGGACATCCCCGAGCGAAAGGACAGACAAAACGCGATAGCGCTGCCGTGGCACCGTGGTCTAGGGCAAGGGTGAGCAAAAGTCGGGGGAGACTAAGACACAAGGATACCCCATGAGCGTCACAACTGATGACTCGAGCACCCCTGCCCGTCGTCTGTTCTTCTCCGCAGTTCGACCTGCAGGCGTGGTGCGGTTTGGGGTCCGATAGACGGATACGGGCCGGACTTCACCGGGTCTATCTGCCCTCTCTATCAACCGCGGCTTTTATCGTATCTGCTTCTTTCGCGGGTGTGTGTTTTCCCCGTAGTTTTATCGGGGCCCGTAGCAATCGGAACGCGGCAAACATCCGCCCTTTTGTCGCCTCAACTAGGGTCCATGAGCTGAGGAACTAATGTTCGTCTTATGACCGCTATCAATTGTGGATTTCGAGAACGGGATCGGAGGGCCAGAACGCCGGATTGGGGCTTTTTCCGTGATTCGCGATGGATATATGTTTCTTTCAGCGCCCACCCGCGCGATGAAGCTGGGGATGGCACGCGATCACGTACAATTGAGTGGATTATCGTCTACTTCAATCCGCGAAACTCAACATGGCCGAAGCAAAGGGACCGATCGACATCTCGTCGAGCTCTAAGAAGAGCATGGACGGTTCTGGAGAGAAGCACCTCGACGCCGACGAGATTCGTCTGGCGCAGATGGGTAAGTCGCATGCCCCTTGAATTGACAGCACCCAATTCTCACTATCCGATACAGGCCATACTCAGGAATTGAAACGCCATTTCAGTACCCTCAGTCTCATCGGTCTTGCATCAACGACAACCATCTCATGGACGGGTCTGGGCTTGGGCCTCATCACCGAGATCAATGCTGGTGGACCCGGTGCGGTTATATACGGCTTCATTCTCGTGACACTGCTGCAATGTTTCTTGGGCGCGTCGCTGGCGGAGTTTGTGTCATCGTACCCTACTGAGGGTGGCATGTACCATTGGATTGCTGCTGTAGCGCCTAGGCGGATGACGGGCGTCCTGAGCTTCTTCACCGGGTGGTTCAGTGTGCTTGGCTGTAAATTCCGACCAACCCCTGAGACGCCATGATGTTTGCTAATCCGAGTTTTACGTTCAGGGATTTTCACGACTGCGTCGACAAACTTGATCTACGCTCAAGTCCTCATGGCGTTGATCGCGCTCTACCACGAGACTCTTGAGATCCAGGCCTGGCAGACTTTCATCGTCTATCAAGGCCTGAACCTCATCACCGCCGGCATTGTCATGTTCGGCAACAAGATCATCCCCGGCCTGAACAAGTTTTCCCTGTTTTACCTACAGATTGGCTGGTTCGTGGTCATGGTTACAGTTGCTGCATGCGCGCCGACCCATCGCAACGCCGAGTTTGTGTTCAAGACCTGGATCAACAACACCGGCTGGGAAAACCAAGTGATTTGCTTCATCACCGGCTTGGTCAACCCCTTGTACAGTCTTGGCGGCCTTGACGGTGTGACGCACATCACGGAGGAGATGCCTAACGTGAGTTTTCCTGACATCTTACTAAATCTGCCTGCATATTGACGAGTTCCGAAGCCTTCCCGAAACGCGCCCCTGGCTATTGCGATCACTCTTGGAATTGCGTTTGTCACGGGTATCACCTACCTGATTACCCTCATGTTTTCCGTGCAGGACTTCGATGCTCTGTCCACAACCAACACTGGCCTTCCGCTCGCAGAGCTGTTCCGCCAGGTCACTCAGGGTGCCGGTGGAGCCTTTGGCCTGACTTTCATCCTCTTCGTTGCTCTCGGCCCCTGCGTTGTCAGCTCTCAGCTGAGCACTGGGCGCGTTTTCTGGGCCTTCTCCCGCGATGGAGCGATGCCCTTCTCAAGACTGTAAGCGGATTCTCATCATAAAGTTCTGAGTATTTATGCTGACTTAGGCGATAGTTGGTCAAGAGTCCACCCTAAGTGGCAAATCCCCCTGAACTCCCAGCTGGCCGTGACTGCCATCGTCGCCGCCCTGGGTTGTCTTTACCTCGGTTCATCCACGGCTTTCAACTCCCTGCTGGGTACTGCAGTCACCATTAACAACATCTCCTACATGTTCCCGATCTTGACCAACTTGCTCACGAGAAGAAAGAACATGCACCGTGGAGTGTTCCACATGGGAGCTACTTGGGGACCCATCATCAACACTATCACGGTGTGCTGGCTTACTTTCGCCATCGTGTTCTTCTCGTTCCCGTATGTCATGCCCGTTGAGCCCGCCAACATGAACTACACTTGCGTTGTCGTCGGTGGCTTGACTGTTCTCGTTGGCGCATGGTGGTTCAAGGCTGGGTCGAAGTACAGCGAGAAGATGCTTCAGGCCAAGGAGGAGTAAGCAACGGAACATTTAGACGTTTTTGGCTGTGCACCGGTGATTTCGAGTTATTGCAACGATCTCCACGCCGTTTAATGAGAAATTTGGTAATTAGCAAAAGGTGGCAGAGAAGCAGAGCCCCGAGTTGCAGGCTCTTTGCAGGCTCTTTTCAGGAGGGTGGTACTGGCAGCCACATAGCATGGATCATTGCAGTTAGCTGAGACCAAAACCAATATTTCCAAGCGAATCAATGCGCAGTATGTCGTGCCTTCGTGACACATGCAACGAGCCCCTCTCCCCACAGGTCCACACAGCACCGGCTCTACGGAAGGCACGCCACTCTGTCTAGTGACCCAGAGGGTCCCAGATCTTCGGGACCCTTCCTGGCCGCACCTGTCTTTCCTTCCGATCTTTGGGTTTAAGCCGCGTGGGGGCTCAAACGGGTCTCTTCGAAATGAGCTACCGGTGATGTCGGACAGGTAATGCCGGCACCGGGAGAAATTGCCGAAGTGTCTCTGACACTTACACTCGGTGTTGAAGGTTCAATAGCACCTGAAGTCCCCAAGAGTATCTGATACAGAAGGGTTAACCACCAGAACTTGACTGCCCTAGACTTTGTCTCCTGATCATCATTCTTTCCACCTTTCGATTGATACCCAAATTGTCCACTACGACTGCCAAACGACACGCACAAGTCTTAATAAAATCACCGATACACTTGCAACATGAGACTCATCATCAGACCCGATAGCAGATCTGCATCTGCTCATGTTGCCCATTACATCTTGGGTACGTCGCTTAGCTTGCAGAGCGATGTAGTAGAATCGCCCTCTGACTAATGCCAAAAAGATCGTATCAGAACCTTCGACCCGACACCCGAGAAACCTTTCGTACTGGGACTGCCGACCGGAAGCAGCCCCATCCAGATTTATGAGATCCTTGTCACAGAACACAAGGCCGGTCGTATCTCGTTCGAGAATGTCATCACATTCAACATGGTAAGCTGAAACAGGCACGCCCCTATGGGTCAAGGACAAGTTCTAAACTAGGCGTTGTAGGACGAATACGTTGGGCTTCCCCAATCCCACCCCGAATCATACCATAGCTTCATGTTCCGTCACTTCTTTTCCCATGTAGACATCAAGCCCGAGAACGTGCACATCTTGAACGGTAACGCCCCGGACTTGGACGCCGAATGCGCTGCCTACGAAGATGAGATCAAGGCTGCTGGTGGCATTGATCTGTTTCTCGGCGGGGTTGGTCCTGATGGTCATATTGCTTTCAACGAGCCGGGATCAAGTCTTGCTTCTAGAACACGAGTGAAGACACTAGCCATGGATACGATCCGGGCCAATGCCCGGTTCTTCGGCGGGGACTTGCAGAAGGTTCCTCAGATGGCTTTGACTGTCGGCGTTCAAACTGTCATGGAGGTGCGTTCCCACTGAAACAGATCAACGTTGATCGAGTCAACTAACAGTTATTCAAATAGGCCAGGGAGGTTGTCATCATTGTCAACGGTGCATCTAAATCCATCGCGCTGCAAAAAGCAATTGAGGGCGGCGTCAACCACATGTGGACCCTGTCTTGCCTACAACTGCACCCATATTCCATGATTGTTGCAGACGAAGACGCGACACTAGAGCTGCAGGTAAAGACAGTCAAGTACTTTAAGAGCATTGAGAAGGTCGGACTGGGCAAAGGATTCGAGCAGAAGTTGCCCCTGAGGCTCAGGACAGTGTCACTTGCCAGCCCCCCTCAAACGCCAGCAGACACGAAGCCTTTCTTGGACGATGATCACCTCGTTGAGTTGACACCAGACAGCATGTCTTCTCGCATCTCACCATGGCCCGTTATGTGAAGGTTTGTCTAGGAAGGCGTTTGAAGATTGAGGGAGGATGGTTTTCCATGGCTACGGTAAAGGAATATGGCAATAGAGCTTGTTGGTCACAAACATCACGTCTAGAATGAATAAGATATTGGATGTTCCAAAAGTGAAAGCTAGCCTCCCTGGTTTTCGTATGACCATAATTCGTAACCTGCCTGCAGACTTGCTTGATCGAAGATGTACCAAGAGTTGTCCAGGTTCTGTATTTCCTGCTCGAACATCTCTGCGTCACCCGAAGCAGGGGTGTGCAGCCCTTGAAGCTTTTCTTCAAGCCTCGTGGCTAAGATGCCTCTGAGACTTGGTTTTGGCTCGTGAATTTCTTTCAACTTCTGTAGATGAACCCCAACGTTTTCCAGATCTGCGTCGCAACCTTTAGTTGAAGATTCAATGAGGCTGCAGAAAACTTACCATCGGGTTCTCCTACACCCCCATCCACACCCTGGAGCACGATAAGGCATGCCCAAGTGATCATTACTAAGTCCCAATTAGACCAAATAGCCGAATCAAGAATTTGTAGCTTCACGGCCGCTCGTGCCGAGACCAGAAGCTCATGTTGTTCTTTCGGTGTCGTGTTGGAAAACAAGTTGCACCCCCTCGCAGGGTGATAGATGGACAACACCAGCAGACGATGGAGGATGTACTGTCTGAACACGAGCTTCTTCTCATGCTCCGACTCGAATTCCCTATCGCTGAACTCCACAAGCCAGTCATCCAGCTGACGTGCCCAATCGCGGATCACTGCCCCATCGACACCGCTGAACGAGACAGTCGCATCAGGCGTTGCGCTAGGCTCGCCCGCAAAGCAAGACCAGATAGTCGGTAAGCCCCGCCCAGTGAAGTGCGTCAATCCGGTATGCATCATCCTAGATAGCCGGTACAGCTGATCTTGCATGGCGATCTTGAGCCGAGGTAGCGGCGCCTCGATGGGGATTACAGGGCACGAGAGGTGGATCGAGGCGTGCTCGAGATCCACGATCTAGCATCAGATTAACAGGGATAAAGCATACTTCCGATGATGCAAGACTCGTACCTGCAGACCAGAGAACAGACGTCGCCATTCACGGGATCTCTCGTCGACGTTAGAGGGGCAGTGTTCCAGTATCAATCGATAGGCCACTGAGATCCAGAGGCCCGTCTCCTTGACTACGGCTTCCCGAAGGAGACCGGCCAGTATGATACCAAGAACAGTCTGAAAAGCCCATTCCTCCGCTGATGCGGGGTCGTCTGGTGGTTGGCCGATCTCGCTATCAGGAATGCAGAGTTGTGAGATGGCGCTGCACAAAACGGTGAAGTATTCGGGTGCTAGCACGGCAACATCTGGCGAACCCCGTATGCTTGAACAGTAAAGCATTGATGCCAGCATGAGTGGCCTGGGTGATGAGAATGTCTGTTTGCTCGGAAGAAAGTGCAGCCCGGGCATGCTCTCATGGAATCTACATCACATCAGCCAGACATGCTTTACCTTAAGAAAGACGGACTCACGAAAGCCAGAGCCTCTTGATCATATGTTTCTCCCATATGTTGGAGCTGACTTTGGAGGGGCATGTCCTTCGAAGGACAGCAACAGCATTCCATAGAGCGCTGAGCCCCGCATCCCCGGGACTTTCGAGCTCAACATCTGGCAAATTTGGCGAAGCTGGCGACTCGACCTCTTCAAGACTGCCAAGACCAGACAGCCCGCAGTGTTCCTCAAGACGCTTCAATCTCAACAGTACAGATTTATTGAAAGAAGAACTTTGCTCATTACTGTGGAGAATTGAAGCCAATGACAGGCTCTCACGATGGGACGCGGACTGAGCAAATGCCGCGTCAGAAATGATCAGAAAAGACCGGGAACGAGAACACATACATTGGCTCTGGGTACAAACACGCATGGAACACCGGCGCGTAGACATCTTCGACACGTCGACCCGTTGTCGAGTCTGCATTTCATTTTCTGTCTTCTGCAATTGACTGCGCGGGCAGTGGTCAGCCTCCACAGCCACGCATCAGACGCACACCGGTGGGCTTACCGCATGCCTTCCGGGCCTTGGACGGGCCCGCATCATCAGGCCCATCCACCGAAGCTCCATCTCTCGCGTGTTGCAGCGACATGCTTAACAACTGACAAGCTTTTCGGAACGTTTCTCGAAACAGATCCACTTTGCGTGCTCAAAGCTTCCGGTGTTTGCAGAGTGCTCTGCCCGGTTGCTATCAAATGTCTTGCTGTTTTCAGCGGAGGACCGGTGAAACAGGTGATGTGGGATCGGGGGTTGAGACTCTGGTTCGCCGGTTGAGCCGGGGTGGCCGGACTTTATGAAGAAGCTGGACGCTAGCGATGTTCAGCGAGCCTGGACTGGGCCCCAGATAGGCGGCGCAGTTGTCATTGGAGGGAAGTGAGGGGGAAATTTGACCGATCCACCGGTTCCACCCGGTCCGGGTTTACCGGTTCGTGATCCTTGAGCCACCCGACGGCCATGTTCAACAAGATGGTTATGACGGGAAAGACGGGATTCCGAATCTGCATGTGAGTTACTGATTATCTGGCGAGCTGCCAGGTTTTGGCGTTCCTAGTTACATACTTGATCGGGTAGTCTGCTGAATGTTGGGATGCGGTACCCATGAACCTGGCTTCAGTCCCGACATACTCGTTATCGAACATCTTTTGGTGGGTGTTGGAGCTCCAATGTCTTCCAACAGCCTCGAGGAGGTCCGGAGGTCGGATCTGATATATGAGGCTCAAAAGATTGCCAAAGAATTCGAGTTCCCTGCTGAGGATGTTCGCCGTGCAACTACCCACTTCTTGAAGCAGCTTAGTAAGTACTTCAACCATCCACGGCCAGGACTGGTCATTACTCGAGCAACATCAACTAACACGAATCAGATGAGGGCCTTCAGAAGGACGGCACATCAATGTGTCAGATTCCATCGTATGTCACCAAGTTACCAAACGGCTCTGAAAAAGGCGTCTGCTTGGCCATCGACTTAGGAGGGACCAACTTGAGAGTATGCTCAGTCGAGCTGCATGGAGACTCAACTTACTCTCTCACCCAGTCAAAGGTGACTATCCCGCGTCATCTCATGCTGGCGCCAACATATAAGGATCTGTTCGGATTCATAGCGCTGCAAACCAAAGCTTTTATGGAGAAGCATCATGCATCGGACCTCGAGAGTTGGGAAATTCTCGTGAAGGACGGTGGCCTCACGGATGAGCTGAGACGCTCACATTCCAAGAGTCTGGGATTTACTTTCAGCTTCACCTTCGACCAGCACGCACTCAACAAAGGCGAGTTGTTGTACTGGACAAAGTCTTTCGACATACCCGATGCAGTTGGGCGTGATCCCTGTGCCATGCTCCAGGAAGCACTCGACGAGCAAGAACTTCCATTACTGGTAACTGCGCTTGCAAACGACACTGTCGGAACATTGGCAGCGCGTGCTTATACATCTCCGGGGAGGTCAAGTACCGTCGTCGGCGCCATCTTTGGAACAGGGACAAATGGCGCGTACATGGAACGCATCTCTCGGATTACGAAGCTCCATTCTCGCCAAGGAACCTCGAAGTACGGACCTGACGCAATGATGGCTCTGAATACGGAGTGGGGTGGATTCGACAACAGGCTGGAAGTGCTCCCGACAACAAGATTCGACCGAGAGCTTGACCAGGAATCAGTCAACCCAGATGATCAACACTTTGAGAAGCGCATCTCTGGCATGTATCTCGGCGAGCTGCTGAGGCGGATACTGGTCCACCTTCTCAGTTCACAAAAAGATGCCTTCGACATGGAATTAGCAACCGAGTCTGCTGTTCATGTTGCCGACAGCATCGACAGCTCGCTGCTATCTTCAGTTGTGAAGGACTCAACCGAGAGCTTGGAAATTGCACGTGAGCAGATCTCGACAATACTCTGCGCCACAAATGTATCGACGTCAGATGCACAAGCTATCAGGATCCTCTCCGAGGCAATTGGACTTCGCGCCGCGAGACTGTCATCGGTTGCCATCGCGGGCGTTGCGCTGCAGTCCGGAAGGCTCGTCTCGAAGGCGACGGTCAAATCAACCGCAGCACCGTGGGGCATGGGCATTCATATTCTGGCCCCTTTGTTCTACGGCATGAGAAGTGCTTGGAAGGTGCTGGCCAAGTGGTTACGCATCAAAGTTCATATCAGGTTTCCAGCCAAAGATTCATCACCGACGTACCGGGAGTCAGAGCATGAAGCAGGTGCGGTCTCACACGATGCGGAAGAAGGCGCCATTGATATTGGCGTCGATGGTTCTCTAATTGAGCATTTCCCAAACTTCGAGGAAAACATCAGAGAAGCTTTGCGGGAAGTACCTGAGATTGGCGGTGAAGGCGAGAAGCGTATCAAGATCGGCATGGCAAGAGATGGCAGTGGCGTTGGCGCTGCATTAATCGCATGGGCTGCAAGGACATGATCATTTGGGGACTCGGTGAATAAAAATAACTAATCAATTGTAGGTGCTTGGTGATAGAAACATTCACTTGAAATGACGCCGCTTCCACGGCTCACATTCTGAAAGATGATTCACTGCTTCACGCAGTTGCTAAACCTTGACTATTTAAACTACTTAGTGAACCGTGAACATGATCCGCTCTCCAAGGCTTCCACCCTCAATTTTTCGCAATGCAACACAAAAAGACAGTAACATCAATGCCAATAAAACCACCATCGACTGTTACAACTTATGAAATTGACCAGTCATGCGTTTCCGATCCTGGGCGGCTGTTGTGGTCATCTCGACATTCGCACACCTCACTTCGGCGCACATGATGATGTCTGATCCATCACCCTTGAAAGCCAAGATCAACCCAAACACCGCCGAAGGAAATGTTGACTACAGCTACACAAGTCCTCTATCATCGAGCGGATCCGATTACCCTTGTAAGGGCCACTTGAGCGTGCTGGGCACCTCAGAAGCAGATCCCGTCGCTACTTGGAACGCTGGCGAGGACCACACGATCACTCTTTCAGGCCATACCACCCACAACGGCGGTTCATGCCAGGTGTCTATGTCTGTGGATGGCGGTAACACCTTCAAAGTCCTCCGAAGCATTATTGGTGGCTGCCCTGCCGGGGATGGCTACCGGATTTTATTCACCCTGCCTGACGATACTCCCTCATCCGATCAAGCCATCTTGGCCTGGTCATGGTTCAACAATCTTGGCAACAGAGAGATGTACATGAATTGTGCTGTCATCAAAATTGGAAATGGCGGTAGCGGCAACAACTTTCGCGCCCAACCAGACATCTTTCGCGCCAATGTCGGCAATGGATGCAGAACCGTCGACAACGCAGACGTGATGATCCCAAATCCCGGACCCAACGTCGAGCTTGCCGGCTCCAACGCAGTTCCGCCGACGGGCGATTGCGAATCTGGTCCTGGTGCTCAATCACCGGGGGGATCTGACTCTAACTCTGGCTCTGGCTCAGACTCAGGCTCAGGATGTGGTTCTGGGCAGGTTTCTGGGGTTGGTGAAGATGGGGATGGTGAAAACGAGAAGCCGTACAAACCTGGTAACGATTGGCCACAGGGGTTCAATTGCAACAACGGGAGGACAGTTGCAGTGGGCCCTCGGCAAACAGTTCTCTTATTTGGGGGTCTGATCGTCGCGCTGGGCCTGCATACAGCGCTACGACTATTAGGGGGTTAGCTTCATATGAGAGCAGAGAGGGTCTCTGAATTACGGGTGAAAATGCGGCTTCCATAGTGACAATCATGCATCAGTGAATATCATCCTGTGAGTTTCACCTCTTATCCGTCACTCTTGTTGGGTTGGTCTTTGCCGCAATGCGATGTTTATCATATGAGAATGAGAGTCAGTATTACCAACGGCTGACATCATCATGCTGCAGTCACTCATGTTTGTTTTGGTCTTTACGGGGCAAGCTCCGACGCCGCAAACCAATCCTCTTCCAACAGTCACGTGGCTACGCGCCCAGGCTGCGCACTATTTCCTCGCGCCATGACAGTGTCCACGGAATATACTTCAAGCCCAGCAACAGTTGGTTTGGCGGCATGAATGAACAACAACGTGTGCAGCCGCTGAAGAAGAATATGCAGCCTTTGCGCCCGCTGCTGCCGGCGCAAGATAGTCCTGCTGAACCAGCAAAACTCGAAAATCTCCCGAGGAAAAGGTCTCGGCCTGTGCAAGCTGCCTGCAACGCATGCCGTAAGCGCAAGTCAAAGGTACGTTGTCTCTGAATTATACGCAGCCGGGAAGTACGGCGGAATGCTCACATAACCTATAGTGTACTGGAGAGAGGCCAACGTGCAGTGTGTGCCTTTACCGCCGCAGCTCCTGCGAATACACCACGCGACCTGGTGAGTCTCGACAGCAGGCCAATAGTCGGAAACACAACGAAGTGCAAGGCCGAGCGACGATCCACGAGCAAGTTTTGGCGCTACTGAAGAACTTACCTGAAGAGGCTGCCCAGGACGTTTTCCAAAGGATCAGATCCGGGGCCGACGCCACGACTATCGTGAACCATGTCGAGGCTGGAGATCTGTTACTTCAGATGGCTATTACCCCCGAAACGCGGCTACGATATGACTTCCCCTACCGTTCCGAGATGCCTGAGATTTACATCCAAAACAATCCTTATTTGAATTCGTTCATATACGAAGCGGCATCACTGTACTCTGCACATGGGCAAGGGAGACCTTCGCATGCCATCGCCAGTGGGTCGCAGGAACTCCAAAGTGTCTACACCAGACCGTTTCATGCAGCACAAGTCGTCGAGCCCCGCTTGTCCGACGCCAAGGTATCATGGTGGACTAATGTATGCGATGACGATTCACTGATGCAAGACCTCCTCCGCGCCTTGTTCAGATGCGAATATCAATTTTCTGCGGCTTTTCAGAAAGACCTGTTCCTCGAAGACTTGGTGGCACAAAAGCAAGACTTTTGCTCTTCACTACTTGTCAACATAACCCTTGCCTATGCCTGTGTATGTTAATTATGCCCTCGCAGTCGATGCAACTAACTGGGCACAGGTCTGCTATCCACAGTTTTCAAATCGCGTCGAGTATTGGAACCCCAATACGCTTGGATACCGCTTCCTCGCAGAAGCCAAACGTCTCTGGGAACTGCAGGCCTCCGAGCCGCGGGTCACTACCATACAAGCTGGCATCCTATTCAGCGTTTTCCACAACCTGTGCGGTCTAGATGAGATTGGTCAGCCGTACAGAATCCACGGCGTCAAATTGGCACTCAAGCTGCGTCTCTTTTCTAAAAGCTCATGTGGAAATAATGACTCGAAACGGAAAGGCTGGGCTTACACCGCCTGGGCTCTCTACAACTGGGAAACGTAAGTGCACTAACCCAAGGTTACGTCATAGCATCTAATTGTTACAGGCTGGTTGCATTTTCCTTCATGATACCGCCTTTAGTCAAAGAGCCTCCGGACTGGCCATTGCCTGACCCGACAAGAGAGGGCGACTGGTATGGCGAAATCTGGCTTCAATACCCACTGGTTTCAGACCTTCAACCAACTCAATTTGGTCACATCTTTCGAACGAGGGCCAAGTTCAGAGTCATCATGAACGAGTATTGCGACGCAGCATTTTCTCCAAATGGAGTCATTAGTCTCGATCAAGCCAATAGACTCCATGAGAGATTGAGAAGGTGGTACAGTGACTTGCCGGAGCCACTTACGCCCATGATGATAGCACTTCCAGGCCACTTTCAACTGCAGTAAGTGCCCAGCCCGGAGGCATCGCTTCTGCTTTGCCACTCATCGTCATCTATGCAAGGAACAAACGGACCTTCTGATAACTGTATCACAGCATATACTACTACCATTTGCTACTTATGATCTACGAACCCTTACTTGCCGCCAGTAAAGCCAGCGACGCGACATTGCAAAAAGTCGTTGCCGACGCGAAGAAATATCTCCAAACCTTAATCCGCCTCTACTATCTCCGGCACGGCTACGAAGCTATGGACCTGTTTCTTGTGATACCTCTCATGCTCACGGGATACGACTGCATCAACGCGATATTGGAAGAGAAGTCTGAGCATCAAATCGAAATCCTCCGGTCTACGCTCATCCTAGTCGCGAAAGGGCTGCAGAACCAGCGTCGCAATCACTACTTGGCTGAAGCGCTGTTTCGAGTTATCAGAGGACGGATGCGCCCACAAGAGGTGGCCCTTTTGAGAAATTCGATGACGTTTGACGACGAGCAAGAGATGGAGAAGCACGATATGGTGCAGGCTGTGCGCAGTAACTGGCCCGTCAGCATTGTCAAGAAGCAGGAGGAAGTGGATGATCATATTCTGACAAATCTTGTTGAGAGTTACGGGTCGTTAAATGTGGAGGAGACAGCACAGTGATGAACTCCGGGCGTGGCTCGAGTTCCAGGTATTTGTTTCCGTTTGTAGTGTAAAACCCTTTTACTGTAGGGTGGTCAGATTTGTTATGAAAGCCCAACCAGAAGTCCAGGTTGATCGCAATAGGTATCCCAAGCTTTTTCAAAGTTGGAGACGTTCGGATTGTGTTGGGAGAGCAAAACCAATGTTTACCTCAGATGACGGGGAGACTCCGTACTGCTATGTTGGGGTGTTGCCTATCTACTTGTTGTAATGCTGGCTGACCATTAACTCCAGAGGCTTTACATCCGTCCTTTAGTCGCCTATGCGTCAGAGGGCCGGGCATGAGTATCAGAATCTCAAAAATAGCAATGACAAAACCGCACCTTCATTGAATATCAAATCAAACGTCAAAAAGCGAGGTCGAGCCCGGGTTCGAACCGGGGTTGCCGGAAGTTTTGATACGATCAAAATCCGGAGTGATAACCACTACACTACACAACCGAGTGGTTCATGCCCCGACAAGCGCTTAGTATGTCTATGTATGGTTCGCTGGCTGGCCCCACACGACCACGTCATGAGTCATCGTTCCATTCCGCTGTGCACGCCAAATCTGTGTCTGGCTTTTTGTTTTCCATACCCCCTTTGCCATTTTCGTCTTCATTAACCAATCCACTTTCCGTGGGTTCACGGACGATGCGCAATGCATCGCGGGGTGCGAGAAGTAAAAGCCACTATTTAGGTTTCCGTTACTCAGATCTCTGAGCTCAGTGGGCTTTTGGGTCACTATTTCCCGGGAGATGTCCCGCCTAAAATTACAGCGGTTCCCCGTCATTTCGTCTAGAATTGGCGCTGGTGTTGCAACCCCTCTACTGTTGCAGTCGCCTCTGATCACTGAAAGATGAACAAGCTTCTCCGCAAACTTCCCCGCGATTTGATCTCTCCCCTTTCTCGGCGTTGATGCCGATCCTACACACCACGACTGCTGAAATCGGCATCACGCATTTCTTCCGGCCCGCTACCTGTCCCGGTCCCGACCATGCTTCAACTGGCCGAGCTGATCCGAGCAACTACTTTGTAGCCTTATGTTGCACCTCATGGCCGGGCAATATCTTGATATGTTACGAACCAACTTGCCACTGTAATTCGCCCTCTAATGTTCCACCACTCACAAATTTGATCTTACCCTCATCGTTGCATCGTATCGACGGGGATGAAGGTAACCACACCACACAACATCTAGGGTGTATGCAAAGCTAACACCATGAAACCAAAGTTGACATCTTTCCTCACCTTGTCTCTGGCGGGCCTCCTGACCCCGTCATGCCTCGCAACAGTGGCCGACATACCAGGAGCATTCGGGCCAGTCTACCCGCTCACTCCGTTACCCGCGGGCGACATCTCCAAGTTTCTCAAGAGCCGCCCCAGCGATTTTGTGCACCCTGGAATCTGGCATACCCATGAAGACCTCGAGCGTATGCGGAATGGTGTACTTGAAGGCAAAGATCCATGGAAGTCCACCTTTGATGTATTCAGCAACGACAGCTACAGCCAGGCCGCCTATCAGATGAAGGGACCCAAGGCGGTGCTCTCGCGTGGAAGCATCAGCAACCACAGCAGCTTCACCTCGGACTCTCGTGCGGCATGGCAGAACGCGCTGATGTGGTACATCACGCGCGACGAGGCGCACTGGAACCGCAGCACCACGATCCTAGACAGCTGGGGTTCTACGCTTGTCGACATCATTGGTACGGATCGATCTCTGCTGGTCGGTTTAGAGGGCGACCTTTTCGTGAATGCGGCGGAGATCATGCGCTGGGAAGGCAACTGGACCGAGGCCGGGGCCAAGTGGCAAGGCGGCTCGGGTTTCAGCATCCAGTTGTACTGGCTCTTCTCGCGGCAGTCTGTAGCTATTGGACAGGCTAACTACGGGATGGCGAGCATCAAGGCTTTACTTAGCTTCGCAGTGTACCTGGACGACGTTACGCTCTATAATTATGCCATCAACGAGTACCTGAACAACCCTTGCGCGGGCTTGTACTCCATGTTTGACCCAAAGACCGGACAATCATCCGAGTCCGGTCGTGATCAGAGTTAGTACCCCGAAAGTCTTGATCAGGACTATTCGAATGACTGACGTGCCACAGGCCACACCATGACAGGCATTGGTTGGGCCGCCACGGCTGCCCGAGTTGCGCAAAGTCAAGGATCCGACTTGTACAGTCAAGGTGACAACCTGATCCTCAAAGGGGCCGAGTACACGGCAAAGTTCAACTTGAATGAGACGGTCGATTACGACCCAAAGTGGTTCCGCTGCGAGGCGGTTCTTGTTGGTGGCCCTTGGGCTGCCATCTCACAGGAGAAGCGGGGCGTCACAGCGGACAACCCAATGTGGGACATTGTCTATTACCAGTACGTGGTGAAGAGAGGACTGAAGGCCCCATGGACAACGAAGGCGAAACAGACTGCAGGACCTGAAGGGCCTTTGAGCAAAGTTGATCATCCGAGCTGGGGCGGCCTCATCTGGGCTTACTGAAAAAGATCCAAGATATACAATTGACACAAGAACTGCATAGCTGTTGGCACCTTGTCCAAGAAAAATATGCTTCTTCCTCCATTCGTATTTCATAGAGCTAATAACTCCATCGATATAGAAATCACGGGTTCCTGGTTGGAAAGTCATACATACATGAGACTTTCACTAATCATCATCACGTGGCTTATTCTCAGCAGATTTTTTCATGTTTGCTGAAGACAACACTGTCCGGTTGTATCAAACATCCTTGCAAGGTTTGTTGATTGAATATGTACGAATGGGATCAGGCGTGCACTCCTGATAACCCAACTATGAGACGTGGAATAAGGTAAAGAAAGGTGATGTGAATGAGTGAATGGAAAATAAGCCGTCCACAGCCAACTCGTGTGCCACAAGATGAATGTTCATCCCTACTCGCGTCTGTAAAGGAGAGTTCCGAATCCAAGTTGATCGTAACCACCGCTGTTCGGGCCATAGTCACCACCGCCACCCTCAGCACCACCGGCATCCTCGTTGACGAGGTCGCGCATCTGTCCGCTCCACGAGGCGTTCAAGCCCTTGATTGAGTCGTAATGGGCGTAGATGAGCTCCCAGATGGGTCGAAGACCGCCGCGGCCGGCTTCACTAATGACCGTAGCCGTCCCGTGGCTGTTTGTGAAATTTGCAAAAGGGACATCGTATCCGAGGTTGTACTTGGCCACGTACTCCGCACTAGGTTCGTGTTAGCCAGCGTCCACTTCAATCCAAACGTGAGAACCTACCCTGCAAGAATCCTGTTGTCGAGGTATCCGAATAAGTCATCTCCCTGGTTGTACGACTGCTGGGCAAAGACGCCAAGGAACGCAAAGTCGAGCAGAGCGTGCCCCTGGTCTCTGCCGGCCTCCTGTCCCTGACCCAAGGGCTTCTTGGAGCCTGCTTCCTCGTGAATCTTCCAGATAGCGTTCTCGATCTGGCCGTTGCCAGCCCCATTCTTGAAGTAGTCGACGGCTTCATTGTACATGGTGGCATTGTCCGAGAGAATTCCGATGGCTTGCATGGTACACATGTTGGCCAAGTCCCAGTTCGCCCAGTAGTGATCGATCGCGGCGTCGTTGTGTCTGACAAAGAAGTCGTGGTTCATCGGGTAGAAGACGCTGGTCAACATGCTGGACAGCGCATCCAACCCCTTCCATCCGCTCCAGTCGCGGAGAAGCTCTCCCGCGTTGGCGAGTTGGTAACCGTAGATGCCGCTGGCGAGGAACTTGTCCGAGGAGCCCCAGATACGAAGCAAAGTGCTGCTCCAGGCGTCAAGAATGCGACCGGCAGCTTCCGCGTGAGTCTCGTTGCCGCTGATCTTCCAGTGGACGGCATTGGCGTAAGCGGCAGCCGCATCGCGGAAGAGGAGAGAATAGTTCTCCGTGCAGTCGCTACCGGAGCCGCGGCAGAGCGTCTCCACCGGTCGAGGGGTGTAACCGGCGACGGCGCGTACGGCGAGCTTGTCCCAGCCGGTTGTCCATGGCGCGCGGTTGGCTTTCAGGAAGCCATTGATGCGTTCGAAGTCTTTGGCGGTGTGAAGGAGACCTGGGTGGGCGAAGGCTTTCTGAGCGTTGACATCGCGAGTGACGCATGCACTCGCCAGCGAGGCCAGGGCGAGAGCCCAAGAAAGGAAAGTGAAGTGAATGTTGAACCTCATATTGCCGGATGACAGGGGTGAACTGTGGGGTTCAACGGTCGTCGCTCTGAACGACTTATGGTGGTAAAGTCGCTCATTACCAAAATGGAAGACGAAGAAAGACCTTTATCTATCCTCAATCCCTTTCGGGCATCTGATTCCACGCTGTTTCTCGAAAAAATGAGAAATGATGGAGATGTCGTAAACGCCCCGCCCGGGACTTTTCCCGCCCTGTTCGGTCGGCAGACAATTTCCATGGTGAAGCAGAGTACCGGATGGTTTTCGCATCTCAGTTGAAGAAAACCATGGGAATTTTGATTGTTTCCCTACTAGGCCGTGAAAGTCTATCGCATCCGAAATTTAAGGGGTGTGTCAGCTGAAGGCAAGGTTTAGGAGGTGGGCCGGGGTAAGGTCCCACTGCCGATCCCGTTCGGCCCTCCTGAACTTCATTTAACACCGGAGCCGGCCCCGGGCAATGGCCCGGTGTGTGGAAAGTTTGACTGTTCGTGAGTGTTTGTTCTCTAATGCCTGCCTATGAAAGCACAGCTTCGCACCCAATGGAATGAGAGTGCTGTCCTCGATGAATGAAACTCGATCGTCAATTGCAGCTCACAAAGTGTTACTCTGAAGCTGTAGCTCTGAACTTGAGCTCTGAAGTCGCAACGTCCATCATATAGCCCAAGTATCGTTATCACCATCTTTTCCGAGTGAGTTGATGATAACATGGAATAGCTGGAATTTAAACAGAATTTCTCGGGGGAATGTTGGCTTGATTAGCAACAGATTGTTGTTCTTTAGTCACCTTCAATCGTGTCATTGTCTTTCTCCATCACAACT